TTTGGAACGCGGAGCGTTAGAAAATTATCAGGCACATTTAAATCTTTTTTTTTCTTCTATCTCTTAATATCGGCAGACTCTCGAGCGACAGTAACGAGTAGTAAGATTAGGAGCACTTCACAAGAGCAACAAAAAAGGTGGTAAGGTGTCTGGGAATACATCTAACAAAAATACAAGATTATATGAAGAAAATTACAAAAGTTTTGAAAGAGATACACGAAAGCTTGAATAAATGGAAAGCTACACCATAGTCATGGATAGAAAGACTCAGTATTGTTACGATGTGTGAAATACTGGTAAAAAGAAAATGGATGAATTATCGCTCTTAAGCATGGACAAATCTCAAAACCATAATGTTGAGTGGAAAAAAGAAAGCCACAGAAGATTACATACAACATGACAGCATTGTATATAATTCAAAAACACATAAAAATTGAATGATAAGTAAAAGATAAAGAGCAAATTTAGAATAGTGTTGCACAGCACAGAGGATCTTTGACTGAAATGGTAATATGTATTCTGTTTCTTCATAGATATACAGGTTTTTCTTTTTCTCTGTACTTTACACCTACATAATACATAAACTCTTTAGCTTTTTATTGCAGTAAACACATGTATAGAAAAGTGTACCAACTGAATTATCCATGTAATCAGCACCCAGACCAAGAACGCATCATTACCACATCTAGAAGACCCTCTCCGAATCACTACCAGTAGCTACGTGCCCCACTAAGGGTAACCACTATTTTAATTTCTAACCTAATAGATTAGTTTTGCCTATTTTTGTACTTTGTATAAATGGAATCATACAATACGTACCCTTTGTTTCTGGCTTCTTTCACTCGTTATGTTTGTGAGATTCAACCTTGTTGCTTGTCGTTGTGGTTTGTGCATGCTCGGTGCTGTCGAGTGTTCCATTGTGTGAATATACTACAGTTTATTTAGCTGTTATACAGTGGTACATTAGATACAGTCTTTGGTATGCATGGAATATTTCATCAAAAACAATTTTAAAAATAAATAGCCTTTAAAAATAAATAACATTAAAAACTATTAGAGCTACGTGAAGATGTGCCTTGAGAGTCCTGCCTGGGGCAAAGGGATGAATCAGTGAATTCTTCAAGCCCCTGTTATCCTTATCCTTGAGTAATAACTTAATACACTCATCAGGGGCTCTGGAGAGGTCTGTGGTGTGACAGGCAGCCACAGGGAAAGTCATTCTAAATCATTTATGGAGTACTGACTGGATGTGCAGTCTCCTGCTGGGTTCCAAGGAGACCAACATGAAGACTCAGCTACTTCCTTCATGGCCAGCATCTCTTAGGGGTGGAGGAAAGAAGAGAGAATGTACTTCTAGACTGACAGGAAGTGGACAGCCATGACCCTTCTGCGCAGGCGTCATAGCATGGAAGGTCTTTGATCTGAGTCCCTCAGCTGAGGAGGAGTCAGAAGGGCGAGGAGGTCGTCTTCAGAACTGCCTGGACTGGGTCTTTTCCCCCTCAGGACAGAAAGGTTGTGGTCACTTTTTCCCCAGTAGACATGCAGCTGGGCTTTATCTCCCCAGCATTCCCATCCCCTCCAGAAGCCCATGTCACTCCAGACCAGGGAGTGTGGGCCTTTATCTGGGCTCTGTTTCCTCCCTGGGGACATCAGGTCCTGGGCAAGAGAACTTGGCAAGCTCTCCCCATGGCGGTCTTATTCCTCCTCCTTCTGTTCCTATGTGGGCCCCCTCAGGCTGCTGCAGGTAAGGAGCAGGAGGTGGGGGATTCGTCAGCTATTCGCGAGGCCGGGAGGGACTGCTGCTGTTTCTCCTTCAGAGCCTGGGGAAGGCATCTGACTCAAGAAGATAAATTTACCCCAGCTGACCTCCCCCTGCCTCTAATACTGGGGAAGACCCAGAGACAATCAAGGTCCAGGTCATGTACAGTTTCCTTTAGAACATAAGAACGGATAAGTAAATGCTTCCAGAAAAGGAGAAGCAAGAGTAAGAGATACAGGCATTTGGTGACTATTCCAGCCCTTTTTCTCTTGCCCTCAGATTTCCTCATTCACTGGGGGAGAGGGGAGGAAAGCCCCTACCTTCTTTTCTCCACTTCACTTTTTTGTAGCTCTCACTTGAGAAATGTGCTCAGCCAGGCAGTGCTGGGGGACCTCAGAAGGGGAGGAAGCCAGGGGTTGGAGGATGAGTGGAGGGTTGTTGATCTGATGGAGGTCTCTGGCCTCACATAACCCTCTCCCCACAGACAGCATCCAGGCCATCTATGTGGCCTTGGGGGAGGCAATGGAGCTGCCATGTCCCGCACCACCCACCCTGCATGGGGACGAACTCCTGTCCTGGTTCCGCAGCCCTGCAGCAGGCTCCTCCACTGCCCTGGTGGCCCAAGTCCAAGTGTCCAGGCCAGTCCCAGGCCCTGGGAAGCCCAGAAGGGAATCCCGGCTCAAACTGCTGGGGAACTACTCTTTGTGGCTGGAAGGTTCCAAGGAGGGCGACGCCGGGCGGTACTGGTGTGCTGTGCTGGGTCAGCAACACAGGTACCAGAACTGGAGGGTGTATGATGTCTCCGTGCTCAGAGGTGAGTGGGAGCATGCAAACCAGGGGCCACTAGGGGCTGGGAAGCCCAGGCAAAGAACTAAGGGGTCCCTCTCTCCCCACAGGATCCCAGTTATCTGCGAGGGCTGCAGATGGATCCCCCTGCTCTGTCCTCCTGTGCTCTGTGGTCCCCGCCAGACGCCTGGACTCTGTGACCTGGCTGGAAGGGAAGGGTCCTGTGAAGGGCCATGTACAGTCCTTCTGGGGCGATGGGGCTGCCCTGCTCTTGGTGTGTCCTGGGGAGGAGCTTCCTGAGCCCAAGGGCCGTAGACCAAGAATCATCCGCTGCCTCATGTCTCAGAACAAAGGGGTCAGCTTTAGCCTGGCAGGTAAACTGAGGGAGGATATGGGAAGGGATGTTGCCTCTGGCACATCCTGCACCTGCTGCCTAGGGGAGGAGGTGAGATAGGAGGAGAATCTGTTATTGGCCAGGTCAAGGTGGGTGATTTCTTAAGGAGCAGACCATCGCCTGTAGGAGGAGGGCTTTTTTCTCATTGACTAAATCCATAACAGAGAAGGAGGTTGTGTAAGCCAGCTATCTGAGGGAATAGACAATCAGCCAAGAGGGAGAAGGATTCTGGTGGAATATACCATTGTTTAGAAATAGGGTAATGTATGGTTTTTGTGGCATATCCCATAGCAGAGAGGAAGAAAATAGGAATTATTGCTGAGGGAGTTGTCTTTTGAAGAAAGGATATATGCAATGATGTTATAATGGCCCATTGATAGTGAAGGCAGGAGAAAAAAATATAAATGTTTTACAATAAAAAGTCTATTATTCAGAGAAAGAATGCTACTGGATGTAGAATAACTCATTTGTAAGGCAGGAGGGAAGAGCAAATGGCCATTATGTTGGTAAGCAAAGGCCGGTTAGTGGGCAGTGACTGGGTCTTATTTCTGTCTATACCCGCAGCACCTAATATGGTGCCTGGCATGTGGTGGACACTCAGCGAATGCTTATGGAGTGAATGAATGAAAGAATGAATAAATGGAAGGCACTTTATTTTTTTCTTGAAAGGGTGGATTACTATGAAGGGTATGAGGAAAAATCACAGTTATGGCTGGTGGTCTGCTCTGGAGTTAGCTGTCCATGTATGGGCAGGGGAGCATTGCCATTCTCTATTGATGTTGGCTCGTGGAGTCAGGGTGAGAGGCCTGGAAGGGGGCAAAGTGGGGTGGTGGATATTGGGGGCGAGGAAGCTTATGAAGTCTTTTGGAAGAGCCCACCAGGCTATGGGAGGAAGCCTCTCTTTGGGGCACAGAGACAGACCCCCTCACTGCCTCCCTCCTTATCCCTTTTGTCTTGACCTTACTGCAGCCTCCATGGATGCCTCCCCTGCCCTCTGTGCCCCTTCCACGGGCTGGAGTGTGTCCTGGATCCTGATGCTGTTGCTCACAGTGGGCCAAGGGATTGCCATCCTGGTCCTCAGCATCATGCTCTGGAGGCGGAGGGTCCAGAGGGCTCAGTGCAGAGGTGAGTCCCTCCCTCCCAGAGGGAAAAAGAGCATGTGGGTGCGAGGGAGAGGGTTGGGCTCACATCTTGCCTCTACACTCTGTCCTCTCTCGGGGAGGAGGGTGGTAAGGAATATAGCTCTGAGTTATCTGATGACTTCTCTGCCGCACCCCATATGGCTCCTTCTTCCCAGATGCCTCGATTCTTCAGTTCAAACCCCAAGTCCAGGTCTATGAGAACATTCATTTGGCCCATCTGAGGTGAGCAACAACTAGGGGGCGAGGCATAAATCCCAGGGGGACTGGGGTTGGGGTGGGGATGGGGTGCTGGTTCCTGAGGAGGTGGAGAATGGAAATATCTTTAATCTGTCTTTCTGCTTCGCAAAAGGCCACCTGCCCCCAAGACCAGATGATCTCAGTGACATCTGCTGGGAAGTGTGACCTGCTGTCTCTCTGGCCATCTGGCACCTGAAGGACTCCCTGAAAAACCTTGGCAAGGGGGAAGGGGCTGAGAGTACTACTTCATAGTCCAGCTGGTGTCCAGTCACCAAGCTCTATGTGTGTATGTGTGTGTGTGTGTGTGTGTGTGTGTGTGTTGGGGGTGGGGGTGGGGCCGAAGGAAAGGAGAAACATTATTCAGTGATGTCACCTATGAAAGGTGTGGTCTCCTGTCTTGTAGCAGCCAGTGGGGGGTGGCCCTGAGCCCACAGTACCTTGGGATTGAGGGGAACCTGATGAAGCTGGCAGGGGATGAGGAGGGTGGGGATGGGCAGAGAGGAAACAGAGGGATCCAGAGACTTGAGCAATGGTGGAGAAACAGTTATGGGGGAACCACAGGACAAATGGGGGAAACTGAAGAAAACAGAAGGGAAGGGACTCAAATCAGAGTAAGGGAAGAGGTGGACAGAAAGAGACAGAAAAATGGAAGCACACAGTGGGAAGATTGAGGGACAGAGAGAATGGAAAGAAGACTTAAGTTGCCTCTGAATTAAGCCAGACGTCCCGCCCCGACCCCTTCTCATCCTTACAATGAAGAGAAGTTGAGAAAGAACAAGTACCTTTAGTCAGACCCCAGACATCCTCAGATGAAAGGAGAGGGAACTGAGTCAGGATGGGGGTACCTGGGCTCAGCCACTACCACGGGGCACCCTCTTATCCTAGGTACCCCATCGTGGCATCCAGAGCAGTGAGCAGTTTTTTGTCACCCTGACATCCCGGGAGCCCCTGGAGTCACACACTGTCTCCCTGTGCAGAGCGAGTGTCCACAGCAGGGGGTGGGCGGATTTCCCAGTAGGGTGTGTAATCAGGCCCTGCGTGTCTGTGAACCATGGACAAGTCTGGGCTGGTGAAGCAGGAGGGGGCATTGATGCTCCTAACTCGTTCATTCTGCAGTCTCAGGCAGAAATGAGCTGGACTCCAGCCACACCCTCACAAGCAACTCCACCAGGCGCCCTTTTGTGTATCTGCTCAAGCTTGTGCCTCACTGGAGAAAGGCTTTCTCCGAAGTCTCGCCTAAAGCCTTCACGCTGTAGTGGCTTAAGCTAAGCTATTGGCAAGAAGGACGCAAATGACACAACTAGGGAATGAGGTGAGAGTTGTGGTTCAGCTTCCAGCACCGCAGCCCAACTCACCAAGCAGCTCTAGTTTGGTTTTAGAGAGCGCACACACACACACACACACACAGCAGTGTTACCAGACTCTCAGATAGCACTTTTATTAAATTTACTCTTCATAGTTCCCCAAGCCCTCCTTCCTGAGTTCCTGACCTACCAAATTAATCTTTCCTAGCAAGACTCTCCTCCTCACCATACCTGGTGCCCCTTCAATCCCTTTGCCTGAGACCCACAGCTCCATCATATGCCTGCCTTGCCAGAGACCTGGGGCTGAGACAGGGCATCAGCAACAGGCATCTAGAAAAGACAAAAGACATCAAACAAGTGTTCTTAATGAGGCTGGGCTCTGGGCAGGCGCCTGTAGGGGCGGGAGGGGTACCCATAGGAGTCAGGTCTTGGGAGGGGTCTGTGAAGGTGCTGGGCCGGGGATGTGAGGTCTCTGTACAAAAACAGGTTCTTGGGCGTATCTCAAAAGTGTCTGTGCAGATGTTTCCAGGGCCGTAGTGATGGCGGAGGAGTCCTGGGTTGAGGGCTGCAGATCTTGAGAGGCTAGTGGAGGAGGTGGCCTCCCCAGGTGAAGCTGGCCACAAGGAGGAACAGAGTGGTGAGGAGGGGGGTGGGGAGCCACTGCAGTGTGGTGGCCAACTTGCACAGGTCCTGCTCACAGCAATGGTACCACAGAGCGTAGGAGCGTGACCAGTAGGTGGCATGGCCTGGCAGAGGGCACCCAGTCCTTGGGAGGCAGCCTTTCTGCTCAATGATCTCACTCTGCTCTGTGGGACAAAAGGGGAATGCTGAGGCAGGGGCGGGAAGGAGGCAGGGGCCATGGGCAGCAGGAAATGCAGGATGGATGGAGGCGGGGAACGACCTGGAGAAGGGCCATTGGACCAGAGTCCTACCTGAGGTGCCAATACTGATGCCACATGCTTCATCATCCTGACAATCAGTGGGAACAGGGTAGCAGGGTTTGGCGAAGCTGCAGGTGTAACAGCGGAGCCACCCCTGGGCAGGGGAAGTGGTGAGATCTGTGGGGTCGGTGGAGATGGAGCAGAGAGGAAGGGCAAACAGGTCGGGTGAGAGGCCAAGTCCAGATTCGGGACAGGGATTCACGGGACACGGATTCACAGAGCGAGGTGACACACAAAGTGGGGAGAGTGGAGAGAGGGAAGCAATGAAGTGGAAGGAGAAGGACACACAGAAGTAGAAAAAAAGAGACAGAGAGGAGAGGGGAGACAATTCAGGAAAAGAGAAAGACACAGAGGCAAGAGAGATACAGGAATTGTGAGATGCACAGATGTGAACAGAAGCCAAGAGATTCAGAGATGATCATAGAGAATGACATAAAAAAGCCAGGGGGTGGGGGGTGGGGGTGTGGGGAAGCAGTGAAGAAGTTAAGCAGATGGTGCCAGAGACAGATGAGAAAATAGGAACTGACATTGACGAAGGGGCCCAGCAAAGAAGCAAGAGGTGAGACAAGGGACAGGAGACAGAGGCTTGTCAAAGATGCTGCAAGGAAGAGACAGTTATTCTCAAACGCCCTTGAAAGGAAACTTTTCCTGTTGCACCTGATCAGGCTGGCCCAAGGCCATTCCCAGTAGCTCTTCTTTCTAAAGCTCCCAGAACTCTCTTCTTGGCATCTCTCAGTCTCCTCTCCCCACCAGCCTTCAGGCTCCTCCACAAGCCCCTGCCCCAGCGCCTTCCCCTAGGGCTGGGCTCTGGGCAGGCGCCTGTAGGGGTCCCCAAGATTCCCCAGCTCACCCTTACCCAGTGCCCCACAGAGAAACAGGATGCAGAGGAAGGTGCTGGAAGAGCCCATGGCTGAGCCCGGGATTCTGGAGTCTGAGGGAATGTGATCTGCACCCCTAGAACCTGAGAGTTGGAGAGTTGGAGCATCAGAGCCAGACAGGGAGGGACCAGTAAACAAACACACCTAGGGAGTGAATCTGGGAGGCAGAATGGGGACCAGATTCACCAGCCTGAGCCACAGGGCCCTGGCCCTCTGCTCCTGTGCCCCGCATCTCTCACATCCTCCCTGCCCCCTACTTGAGTCTGCTCTTGCCTTAAGGGTCTTCTCTGTTCTCTCAGTGTCTGTCTCTGTTACTCTTAGCTGCATCTGCCGCTCCTGAGTTGTGTCTGTCACCTTCCCTCCTACTCCTCGCCCTCCCTCCACTTGTCTCAAGCTGTTCTCTGCTCTCTCAACTCTCTCCCTGTCTTTGTTTTTGCTGTCTTTTCCCCCTCTGTGCCTTTAAGTCTCTCAAGGTCACCCTCCTAAACAGCCCTAGCCCAGATCTGTGTGAGGTGGTGGTTAAGTGTGAAGTTTGAGTGTGGAATCAACAATATTCCCTCCCACCCACCCACGCACCACATGCAAACAAAGCCCAGCTGCGTAAGGGAGGACCCCACCCAACTTCAGATCCCTTTGATTCCCTCAAGCCTCAACATTCCTACCCCATAATTATCCCTCCCAGCTTTACTACCTTGGAGGAAAGAATCATGGGTGGGGACAGAGGGCCGGATGTGTTTCCACCAGGGCAGGGGGGGGTGGTGAGGGGGGTCAGAAATACTAGGAAGGAATGCAGGGATAAGATTTAGGGGGGATGGTAGAGTCTGGAAGACTGGAGTTTAACAGATTGGGGAGGAGGAGAGCCACATCTGGGGAATCAGGGCAGGAATGTACCAGAAGGAGTAAGACTGGGGGTGAGGGTGGGGTGGGACAGAGGAGACACAGGGATCCATGGAGCAGCAGTTTTCCAAAACTTTTTTTATCTCAGGACCTCTTTACATTCTTAAAAATGACTGAAAACCCCAAGAGGGTTTTCTTTGTGTGAGTCATATCAATATTTACTATACGGTAGTGTTAGAAACAAAAGAGAACATTTTAAATAGGTTCATTTAAAAATAAAAATAATAAACCTATTGCATGTTAACAAAACATAATTTTGTGAAAAATGACTTCTTTCCTAACAACACAGTGAGAAGAGTGGTATTGCTTTACATTTTGGGGAATCTATTTAATGTCAAGCTTAATAGGAGATGGCTGGTTTTTCATACCTGCTTCTGCATTCAGTCTGTTGAGATATGTTGTTTTGGTTGAAGTACATGAAGAAACTCCAGCCTCACACAGATATGTAGTTGGAAAAGGAAGATCATTGAGGACCCTTTGAAAGGGTCTTAGGGACCCCCAGGATTCTAGGGTCACAGTTTTAGAACCACTGCTGAGGATGGAGGAGTTTGGGGACTCCAGAGGATGCTGAGAGCTCTGTCTCCCTTGGGGGCCCCTTTCTGTCCCCATTGGGGCCCCCAGTGCCCGCTGGGGGAGACTCTTTCCTCCCTTTTTATTGCCCTATAAAGCCCAAGGTGAGGGGGATATAAGGCTGGCAGAGCAGGGCCAGGGAGGGGGGTGGGTGGGAGGGAGAGGTGCTACTGACACAGGCAGACACAATGAAGCCCCTCCTTGTCAGAATGCTGCTTGGCACCCTGCTGGAGACTGCCTTGGGTAAGGAGGCAGCCCAGGTGGCTCTCACACAGGCTCCTTCGCCTCTGCCAGCTGGTTCCCCTGAGAGCCCAGGTCCAGCGCCCTCTCTCTCCTGCCAGGAAACCGCATGCGGTGCTATGACTGCGGTGGAGGCCCCAGCAGCTCCTGCAAAGAGACCGAGACCACCTGTGGTGAGGGTGAACACTGTGGCTTCCTGGAGCACAAACCCTGGAGCAAGCCATCTGGAAACCGTGAGTCCCCTCTTCCCTCAGCCCTTCCCTGCTTCCAGAACCTTCCAGGCTCAGTCTGGCTCTGGGCAGATGGTGCCGCTGTCAGAGTAGAGCAGTCTGTAGCCCCTTCTGGCTCCTGGCACTGAGCCCTTCAGAAGCCCGCTGTCTGTGTGGTCCCACCTCCCTCCCCTTCCTACTCTCTCTCTCTCTCCCTCTCTTTCTCTCTGTCTCATCTCATAGGCTCATTCAGTCACAAATGGTAGGAAAAGCTCTGTCTCTTGAAGGCAGTGTCCAAAATATTAAATCAAACTTCAACTTCCAGGCATCAGCTAAGGAATAAGGAAGTATGTGTGTATGTTTTAATTTTTTATTTTGAAATAATTTTAGATTGACAGAAAAGTTGCAAAAATAGTACAGAGGGTTCCTATATATCCTCCACTCAGCTTCCTCTAACATTAACATCTCACATAACCTTAGTGTAATTATCAAAATCAGAAAATAACATTGGTATAATACTAATAACTAATCTACAGACCTTCTTCAATTTAGCCAGTTGTTCCACTCACGTCCTTTTTCTGGTCCAGGACCCAAACCAAGATCCCATGTCTTCTTAGTCTCCTCCAATCTGTGAAAGTTGTCAGTCTTTGTTTTTTTTCCTTGACCTTGCTGCTTTTGAAGAGTCCTGATAAGTTATTTTATAGAATATCCCTCAGGGGCCTGCCCCATGGCACTAGCGGTTAAGTGCGCGCTCTCCGCTGCTGGCGGCCTCAGCAAAAAGAGGAGAATTGGCATGGATGTTAGCTCAGGGCTGATCTTCCTCACACAAAAAAAGAAGAGTGTCCCTTAGTTTGGCTTTATCTGATATTTTCTCATGATTAGATTGAAGTCATGAGTTTTGGGCAAGAATGCCACAGAAGGGATGTTGGTTCTTTTCAATGCATCGCATTGGGGGTTCGCAATGTCAATGTATTAACTTCGATCACTTGGTTTCAGGGAGGTGTTTTTGGAGGGGGCAGAGAATCCCTTTGGGGTCCTTGAAATCACATGCACTCTATCTCAGAAGGCAAATCCTCAAGCTAGGAGTCCAACACCCCAGTCTCATTCTCTCTCTCAGCCTCAGTGACTGTGATTCATCACCATCCAGCCTGCGTGGCGGCCCATCATTGCAATCAAGTGAAAACAGAGTTGGTGGGAGACGTGACTTACACAACCCACAGGGACTGCTGCGTCGGAGACCTGTGCAACAAAGCTGTGGCAGCGAGCACTGGGGCCCCGGCGTGCATCTTGGCCGCAGCAGCCACCGCCCTAGCCTGGCTCATGCCAGAACTGTGGAGAGGGTAGTGGGAGTAGGGGAAGGGAAGGGAGCAAGAGAGCAAGGGAACAAAGGAGATTTGAGGTGAGAAGACAAACACTCTTCTGTGAACCATTAAAGTCTATTGACAAGTCTAGAGCTGACTGGACAATTCCATCTATCTTTTGTTGATGGGAGAGCTGAAGGAGTAATATGGGGGCATCCAGGCTCTAGTTTGGAGGTTATCAAGCCTCAGTGGACTTAGTAACACGGTATACTTCTTAACCAACTAAACCCCAAAGGACAGTGGAGAATCTGCCCTAAGTGACTCCTGGATCCTGTTGCTAGGGAGAATCTTCCTTAGCAGAGAGGATCACTGAGGGGAACAGGCTCTGGGCTGAGTGGGGGTCACCAGGACCAATGAGCCTAGTTGTCTGGGTTTGTTCCCCTTTCTGCCATTTGTAACTTGGCTCCCAATATGGCTATTTTGAATTGAGAAAGGAAATGTAAGCACTGTGATAAGAGGGTTGTTTGGTGGTCCACTTAGTAACCAGGATGGGGGAGGCCTCTGACTCTAACCTGAGGGACTGAGGCCTGGAAAGAGGGTCCCAGGTCCTATCCCCATGCAACTCGCCTACCGTTTCTGGGGAGCCCTCAAGCCAGGCTGCACCGCCTTCTTGGAAGTACATCAGAGATGTGGCCTAAATTTGTGATAAGGATTGTTTCTCCAAACACTGGGACCTGTGTGCCACCCCCAGACACTGGAGAGGAGGATGCAGGAGGCCTGAAAAACCTGTTTCTCCATTTGCCTCAGCTCTGCCTGCCAGGGAAACTCCCTGAAGGATTCTTGGATGAGGGAAGGAGCTGAGCGTGCTACTTCCTGGGACGGGGCCTCTGACAATAAACACACAATTAATCAGACACAGACATTTATTACTCAAAATGGAAAGAGGTGGGCATGGGGATGGGGTACGTATGGGAGCCAGAGTTTGGGGAATCAGCCCCATACAGTGAGGTCATCAGGTCCCTTCTGGGAGCCTTCATTAGGGACAGGACAGAAGGTCCATTTCAGGCCCAGATTCCAATCCCTCCCCAACTAGGGCACAGTAGAGTGTGGGAGGCAAACTGGGGAGCCCTTCTAGGGGCCAATGGAGGATCTGGAGTGGTCTGGGGGGAAATGGGAAGGGACTTGGGAAAAGCAGACTGGAGGGTGTGGAGTGGAAGGATGGAGAGGGAGACCACTGTCTAATTAAAGAAATGTGATGGGTCTGGAGAAATGCTTTTCAGTGCAAAGGGAGCTAGGGAGAAACTTGTGGGAAGCCAGGGGATACGAAGACACAGGGAGAGAGGCTCAGGGTGAGGCAGGTGGGAGGAGGGGCAGCCATGGAGTAAGTCTCAGTGCAGCAGCCAGAGGCCAAGCCCAGCCAAGGAGGTCAGGACAAGGGCCAGGGCCGGGGTGGGCCGGGGGGCCAGGCTATTGCAGTTGTCCTTGTTGCAGCAGGTGGTGTTATAGGTCAGGCCCAGCTTGTGGCTGGTTTGGTTGAAGGCCTCCCGACAGGGCTCTTCTGGTGTGCCACAGCGAAGGTTGGAGAAAACCCACATCTTACCTGCGGGTAGGAGTGGGCCATGGGGTCAGCCAGGATGGGCACCTGGCAGGCCTGTGTCCACCTCCCCAGCCCATGCACCCACCCAGGCTTTCTTCCTTCCCAGCTCTGCCCCGGCCCTCCCCTTCTTTATCTCTTCTCAGGCTAGTCTTCCTCCTGTACTTCCTTACCCCGCCCCCTCACCCCAATTCTGGTCCTATCACTTGCTCACTGTGAGGCCTTGGACCTGTTACTTTCTTTCTGAGGCTGTTTCCTCAGTGTAATAATAGCACCCACATCATAGGGTTGTCATGAACATTAATTGCAACAATCCATGTAAAGATATAGAATGGTGCCTGGTGCATATTATCCTTGGCCAAATATTATCATTTCTGTAATTCTCTGTTCCATCTGTCTTAGCCCCAGCTAGGCCTCAGCCCCAGCCACACAGTCTCCCACTGGTCCCCTCTCCCCACTAATGACGAGGATGTTACCAAGGTACACATTTGTTGTCAGGCATTGTTGTCCTGGTTCCAGGCGGCAGGACTGCCGGTCCACACAGCCCAGCACAGGGACCTTGTAGCAGGAGTGACAGCGAATGTCCGCTGGGAAGACACAAGTCAGGCTGAGGTGATGGGGTGTCTGACTCACCTGGAGACTAGCCAAGCTGGGGGGTAGGGTGGAGAAGAGCAAATCAAGTAGGTGTTCTGACCTGTTTGGCCTGGTAGGGACAGAGCAGGTGAGTGATACAGAAAAAGTAGAAGTGGGTGAGGGTGGAGTTGCTGCTCTGTGAGTGGCCCATACCCTAAATATCTTCCTTTACTCCACCCCATTTGGGAATGAGTCAAGAAAGGCAGAACTACCAGAAAAACAGAGGGCTGGTGATAGATGGAATGTGAGAGTACTGTGGGGAAAGAACGGAGGAGGCGGGGGAGAAGATGAAGGAATTCAGAAGAGGTCACAGATGGAGACTTGGAACAGGAAGAAATATTAAAAATAAAAATCATAGAGGTTACAACACTTGCAGAAATGGCTTGGAACTTGAGGCTGGCAAGAAAGCCACCTGTGGTCAGCTTTAGCAGTTTAGTCTTCACCTCCTGGGGCTGCCAAGAGCATGGGAAGAGGAACCAGACCTGAATGGAATCCTCTCACTCCAGCAGCTCTCTGACGGAAAGGAATAACATCTGGGAGACAAATCATCAGATTCCGTCTGGGCATCTTACCAAAATGGAGAGGGTGGGTGCAGAAGGTGGCACCCCCAAAATTCCTGCCTCAGCTCATTCAAGGTTTGGTGAAGGAGGGGTTTGGTCCAAGGGTGGAGGACCCTGGCCACTGCACCTCAGTGAAACCCACCTCACCCTGGAGGTGAGCAGCCCTAGCATTCCCTCCCTAGAAGGCTGGGAAATCTCTTTGGTTCCCTGGGAGGCTCTAAGAGGTCACTGGAACCCTCCAGAAAGCTTGTGTCCCTAGCGGTATGCACCCCAGGGAGGAGGAGGGGGGAGCTACGAAAGGCCACTGCTTGAGGGACTGAGCACAAAGTCCCTGATGGAGTATATGGGGAGGGTGGAGTGCAAAAGAAGCCCCAGGTTGGATGCCTAGGTTTCTGGGAGGACACCCTGCTGAGTACAGGTAGTGAGAGGAGAAAGCAGGTACGCTGGATCCTGGAGAGTTTTGGAGTGGGGCTGGCAAGGGAACTGGATATCAGATTTTCCAAGAAGTTGGAGTGGGGAAGAGGGGACTTGGAGCCCTGGCAGGTTAGAAGAGGGGGTCTTGGAGGTGGGGAGGAGTCTGAAGGATGGAGACATGAGTCCTTGAGAAATGGAGCAAGAACCCTGTCACAGGGAGGCCTGGTCCTGGAGGCACAAGATTGCTGAGCCTGTTGGGGCCAGGGGTGCTTGGGATCCTGAGTCGTGAGTAGTGCAGGGCAGTGGGTGAGGCAGGGTGTAAAAGTCCTGACCAGGTGAACCAGGTCCTTGGGGCCCCTAGGTGCTCACCTGAGACCCAGCAGAGCAGAGAAGACAGGGGGAGCAGCAGAAGGCCTTTCATGGTGAGGGTCCTGATAATGGTAGCAAATGCAGCAGCTGATAGAGCAGATTTTCGGGGATCTGGCTCTGAGAGTTGAGTGACCTTTTTGGAATTTATATTCCCAATAGTCCCTCCCTTCCTTGCCTCTGGTGGCCCCTCCTTCCCCATTTACACAGCAGGACCAGAGGAAAAGACCAGGGGTAGGGAGGGGCTAAGCAGGACTGGGTGGGGGAATGGGGATGGGAGAGAGAGGTAGGGGAGGGCACTAGTGACCAACTCCATTTGGGTTCTTGGTTTCAGGCCAAGACACCCCTCCTGGCTCCCAGCTGACAGCCCTGCCTGCCCAGTCCTCTGAGGAAGCATCACCAAAGGCCCCTGTGATGTTGCAGTGGCCTTGGTAGTGGCTGCTGGTTCCTGGGAAATGGACAACGGGGTGTGACCCAAGCTGATTGCCAAATTTGGGTCCCTGGGGGGCATTGGTAGGGGCATGTGGGCAGAAATTGAGGATGGAAGGGGCCAAATTAATCTGTATTCAGCCCTCACTTGGTCTTCCCAACCCATGCTCAGCACAGGATGAAAGAGTAGGATTTGTGATGTCACCAAGGGTTTCTGTGATGTCATAGCAGCAGAGGCATGGGCAGAGGCTGCCTGCTAAGGAAGGGCTGCCTTAGGCCCCCTGAAGGTTCTCTGGCCCTTGCCCTGGCTCCACTTGGGCTTGGCCTGGCCTCAGTTGCTCCAGTCCAGTGAGGGCAGATGAAGTCCTGGGTGTGGAGGCGTGCACCTGCTCCAAAGCGCCTCCCCAGCCGAAACCAGCCAGTTTGGGTGGGGCACTGCAGGCCTGGAGGGACAGCATGGGCACAGGGAGGTGAGGTAGAAGCTAAAATAAGAATAGAAATAGTAATAATGATGAGAAGCACTTAGAGCTCCTATGTGTCAGACATTGTTCTATGCCATTTACGTATTACTTCATTTAGTTCTCACAATACTCTATGAGGTAGGTGCTTTTATCCCCATTTTACAGATGAGCAAACAGGCTCAGAGGAATTAAGCAACTCGCCGACACTACGCAGCTAGTAGATGGCGACATCAGAATTGAAACTCAGACAGCCGGGCTCCAGACTTTATGATGCTCCTGCCCACTGCTCCGCTGCAGGAGTCCAAGTACGAGGGAGCTTAAAGTATGCGAAAGTGTTTGTGTAAAGGGCCGAGCATGAGTTTTAAGTGAGCATTGTTTGAGGGCTGTGAGCCAGAGGGATCCGGGCCGCTGGTGGCCCCGCCCAGCTCTTATCAGAGCCCCCAGACTCCTGCCCGCCCTCCCCCAGTTTCCCTCCTGTCTCCTCAGCTGATTCACTTGCCTCCTCTCCCCACCACATCCCAGCAATGGCTCTGGTTTTGCAGCTGTTACCGCTGCTGCTGTCGAGGGCCCAGGGGGACCCCACGGGTAAGCCATCCCTAGGAAAGTCCGGATGGGCCAGGAAAGACTGAGGCAGGGGGAGGGGGCGACCGTGGCTTTTTGGGGGGGGCACAGGAGTGCGCGGTCGCCTCCCTCTGTGGACTTGCTCTAACCACTGCCCCCGGCCTCCCCTAGCTTCACTGGACGGCCGCCCCGGGGACCGGGTGCATCTCTCCTGCGGAAGCGTCTCGCATCCTATCCGCTGGACCTGGGCGCCTAGCTTCCCGGCCTGCAAGGGTCTGTCCAAAGGACGCCGCCGGATCCTGTGGGCCTCGTCGAGCGGGACCCCCACTGTGTCGCCCGTCCAGCCCTTTGCTGGCCGCCTACGTGCCCTGGACCCTGGTATCCGGCGGCTGGAGCTGCTGCTGAGCGCTGGGGACTCGGGCACCTTTTACTGCAAGGGCCACGACAACGAGAGCCGTACGGCACTTCACGTGCTGGGAGACGGGGCCGATTGCAGGGCTCCGGGGCCTACCCAAGGTAGGTCGAGGCCTTCGCGCAGAGAAGGACTTAACTCAGACAGACACACATTCCCGGGAGGGAGGGAAGACGGCCTTGGCTGGGGGTTCCTCAGCGGGAGAGCTAGCTCCCTGTCCTCGCACTCCTGACCTCGACATCCACCACCATCCCTCCACAGTTCCCCCAGGATCCGTGTATCCCCAGTTCGTGATCCCGCTGCTGGGCGCTGGGCTGGTGCTGGGACTCGGAGCGTTGGGCGTGGTCTGGTGGCTGTGCAGGTGAGCACGAGGGGCGGGGTCTGGCTTGAGGGGTCGTGACCAGAGGCGGCAGGGACAGGACCAGAACCTTCGGAGAGAAAACTTGTAGGTATCTGGAGCCCCGGAGTGTGGTTTGAAGAAGAATGCTGGAGGTCAGAATTTGGGGGCGAGGCCACAGGCTGGTGGGTGGAGCCTTGGCTAGGGAAGTGAAGCTAGAGGGGGCAGCAGGATCTGAGCGTGGGCGGAACTATCTGTGGGGGTGGAGCCTAAGTTGTTTTGCGGGCCAGAGCCTGTAAGTTCCTGGGTTGTGGTTGGCGCGGTCCGCGGCCGAGAACAAGCGAGACAAGATTGGTGGCTCTCACAAAGACTCTTATACTTCCCTTACAGGCGCTCGCCCCCGCACCCGCCTGGACCACTACCCAGATTTGGTGAGACAACGTCACCCCATTTTCCTTTTCCTACCCGCGCATTCCCCACCCCTCAATTCCTGAGTCTGAGCCCTTGCTGGGAGCAGACAAGTTGGTCTTCTCTTAATCCTTCAGCTCTGTCCCCCCCACGTAGCTCCACTCGTGAAAGCCGAGCCCCAGAGGCCAGTAAAGGAGGAGGAGCCTAAGATTGCAGGGGATCTGGATCAGGAGCCGGTAAGGGCTTGGTGATGGGAAGGGGCTGGCCAGAATCCCTGAGGAAAGTGGACCAAGAAAGACAGAGGCCTGGATCTCCAAGGGAGTCAGACTTCTGAGACCCTCCTGCCTTCCTCCCCACCTCTCAGAGCCTGCTCTACGCAGACCTGGATCATACGGCCCTCAGAAGGCCCTGCCGGTTGTCCCCAGTGGTCTCCAGTGATGCCTCCACCATTTATGCGGTTGTCGTTTGAAGGGAAGCCCTTACTCCAAATCTCACAAGCGGGGGGCTCCCAGCTCTCCATAACTCCCATCTCCTTCTTGGCCCCTCACCTGGGAAAGGCGCCATGGGGTAGAAATGAGCACTAGACTGGGAGTCAGGAGGCCTGGGTTCCAGGCTATCTCTGCCACTGATCTTGCTCCTTCCTTACCTCCATCTCTCCTATAACTTCCATGTCTCCTCCACCAGCGGTGTTCTCCCTAAACCCGATCAAGCCCTGTCTCCCCATCTTAAGACATCAACTCCTAGATAGTTGCCCAGTCTCTTCCCTTCCCTCCACAGTCAAGTTCTTTGAACCAAGGGCCTACACTTGTCTCTTCCATTTTCTTCTCCTTCACTCCACTCCCATTGCTCATCTGCTCTCCATGAAGCGGTCAGTGATGTCCTAATGGCCACAACCAGTAGCCATTTTTTAGCATACATCTGGCTTGGCCTTTGATTACTCTCTTCTTTAAGCTCTGTTTTTCTTTTATGCTGGTGTCTTCCTTCTGGACTCCTCTTCTTTGCTCCCTTGCACCCATTCTAGGTTTGTCCTTTTCTTTATCTGCCTTCCTCCTCTTCTGGGAAGCTGTCATCCACAGCCAGTCCTCAGTCCTCACGGCTGCAAATGACACCCAGAACTCTCTCCAGCTCAGATCTCAGTTAAGGGATTTCTAAACTGTCCCTCAGACATCCCTGCCTGGCTGGCCCTAGGCATTTTGCATATAGCACATCCGGAACCCAACTCATTATCATCTTCCAAGCCACTCACTTAATCCTCCTCTGCATTTTCTCTTGATCAACCCAGTTGCCCAAGCCAGAAACTGAGAGTCATGCAGATGTCCTTCCTCTCACTCCCACACAATGAACCAAGTTCTGTCTTTATTTTAATGTCACTGTCAAATCCACACCCTTCTTCACGCCTAGTGCCACCACCTGAATGTACTCTCCTCATTTCCTCTTTGGGTTACCCGTAGTGTCACCTCATCCTGCCCTTGCCCTCCTCCATGAAGCCAGAGAGATCCTCCCCAAATGCTCACCTTCTCTTGACAGCCTGTATTTCAGAACTGAAGTATTTCTTTCCTTAACCTTCAGCTCTGGGCCCATGGACCTTGGTTTTGGGTACAAGGTGCTACAGTGCTCTCTGTCTACTCTCCAGGCTTATCTCTGTCTCTCCACATGCACACAACATGCCAGCCTTGGAGAAGTTCTCCCCAGGCCCCAGCTATACCTTTGCCCAGTGCAATTCTTTCTTCCTGAGTTATGCTTTTCCCTCCTCCCCACTACCTTCCTGGCTAATTCTTATTTATCCTCAGGCCTCAGTTCAAGTGTAGCCTTTTCTGGGAAGCCATACCCTCTTTGCCCACCCTGCATACATTTTGATGCCCTTATTTCTCTCATAGCAACAGTGTCCTGTGAATTGTTCCATCACGACCTCTATTTCAATTTGTAAGAAATTTTCATGTACTGTGAGTTCCCTGATATCAGGAGACTGACCCTTTTTATATCACTGCTAAGCCTCAGTAAATGAGTGAATGAAAATGAATGTCCCTGGAAGTGTCATTTCTTTCTCTCTATCAACTACAGGTCGGCTGGTAATGTACCAGTCTCAGAATCATCTGACATTTAGATAAATCCAGTGAGCAATCCACAAATATTCTCTCTTTGCCTGTACATGTTTCCCACAATAGAAATTCTATCCTGTCTATCTAGTGCCCAAGCACCTATGACAGGGCTGGGCCATGAGTCAGTAAGTGCCTAATAAGAGGTTATTGAATGAAAGAGGTCTCCTTCCCACCACGGACCCCAACCTCAGGTTTCAGCCTTGCCCCAGTCCCTCTGCCTCAGTAAAGACACCAGCCACAGCCCAGTCTAAAAGGTCAGTTCTATTTTATTAGCTCTGGGGAAGGACTGACTCAGGGCATCTATGGTTTTTCCCACACTATGTCCTCCCCCCATCTTGGGGCTCTCTCCCCACTACCACCTATTCACCGGCATCTATGTAACCTTCCTTCCCCTTCTGCTCCCTATGCTGCCCTACCCCTGGCCAGTCAGGACCCCAAGGCCAGGCCCTCAGCTGTGGGGGCGTGTACTGAGCACCAGGCAGAGGGAGCTGAGCCCAGCGCCTGCCTTCTCCAGTTCCGAGCAGGACACAGGTACCAGGGTGACATCAGAGAGCTTCTGCAGTGCCTGCAGGGAGGACATGGAGTGCGAAGAGCGGAGTCAGACCCCGAGGCCACAGCCAGGCCCCGCTTCTAGCCAGCCTAGAGTGGCCCCACCCAGGCTTCTAGAGAAGGTACTCCTCCTTCCTCCCACTAGGAAGGCCTGAGACTCCTTTCTCTGGTTGTTGTTGGTGGTGGGGCTCCTGCTTTCTCTCACCTCCTGGCTGTTGGGCAGGTCTCCGCCTCCACGGTGCAGGAGGAAAGGGGGCACACCCGGCAGCCCAGGACGCAGAAAGAGACAGTCAGCGGCAGCGTCATCTGGGAGGGTCAGGGAAGCATAGGGGTGATCCGTCAACACTGCCATTGCCTGGGGGAGAGGAAAGAGGAAGCATTCAAGTCTCAGAGCTGGTCTTCAACTGAGTCTGGCTGCCTTACCGCCCCTAAGGGCAGTAGAATACTTTGTGGAATAATGACAGCAAGCACATAGAGCTTACTATGTGTCAGGCACCGTTCTAAGCACTTTAGTACCTTTGCTAATTTCTACCTTGGACTCAAATGCAGTTCTTTCCATCTGTAACCCTCTTCACCCCTTCTCCAGCCCCCACCTGTCAGTCCCATCCTTTAAGTCACAGCTTAGATGCCACCTTTGGGGAGTTTCTTGAAACTCAGGAAGACGGTGTTAATCACTCCTGTTCTGCAGTCTCCCGGCTCCCTGTCCTGCTATAGTAACTTCTCGTTTTCTCACGTGTTTTCACACTAGACGGACAGCTCCGTGAGGGCAGGGGCTGGAGCTAATTTTCTGAGCTTCCCAGCTTCCCAGCTCCCTGCGTCGCCGGCCCGGAGCCACGCCCATTTTCCTGGGCCGCGCTCCAACTGTCCTCTCCAAGCCCCGCCCCTCCTCACCCTGACAGCCTTTTGCGCAGCATCGCTGCTACCCGCCACCACAGTGCGGGGTCCCCCCATGCCGCAGAGGCCGCGCAGGTGGGAGGGGCTCGAGACCGGCACTGTGGAGACGGCGAAGTCCTAGGGGGAACAAGGGAAAGTATTCAGGGACGCGGGAGGGGCGAGGGGATACCC